GGGGGCTGGGGCCGGGCCATATCCAAGTTTGCTCAGGCCCAGCAAGAGGCGGCCGCACATCTGCCATGCCCATCTGGTTAAAGCAGAGGCCCCGCCCAGTGCAGGGCCTGGTGGATCGCCACGAGCACCTTCACTATGGAAACCAGGGAGCCAGGTCCCCCTCCCTCCCAGGCAGGGGTCCTCCATTGGCCGTAGCAGAGGCGCACCTCCCGTACAGGGTGCCTCCCTCCCCTTGGACGCGGAACCTCTGCTTTCTTTCTCTTTCCTCCTGGCCTGGTTTCCTCCTGAGTCAGTGTTCCCAGGCGATGCTATCACGCTCGTCTGGGCAGCCTTGGCAGCTGTGGGCACGTGGTGGAGGGACTGTGGGGGCCACAGGGAGCCTCCGGCACCTGCAGCAGCACCCAGGGCGGAGGCACCCAGAGCCTGGGGACTGTGGGGGCCACAGGGAGCCTCCCGGCACCTGCAGCAGCACCCAGGGCGGAGGCTGCCTCGCCCAGGCAGAGCCGTCCGCTGGGGCCTGTCTGCGGCTGGGACGCTGCGCACATGGCCTGGTCCTTCTCCCATCTCCTCAGACCCCGGCTCTGAAAGAGGGCGGAGGGGCAGTGGCTGCTTTCAGGGGACCTGCTCTGGGCCTAGTGCCAGGCCAGGCGGGCAGGTTGGGGCCTGGTGGCCGTGAGCAGCTACAAAGAACCCACACACAGTCACGTGGCCACAGGCCCCTTTCCGCCGGCGCAGGCAGTCGCATCTCATATGCACAAGCTACCATTTTTCCCAATATTTGCAGAAACTGATCAATGCAGAGCCATCTACAAGCCTCACAGAGCCCGGCCAGCGTGGCTCAGGGGTTGAGCGTCGACCTGTGTATGAATCAGGAGGCCATGGTTGGATTCCCGGTCGGGGCACTTGCTGATCCCAGTGTGGGGCGTGCAGGAGGCAGCTGATCCATGATCCTCTCTCATCATTGATGTTTCTCTCTCCCTCTCCCTGCCTCTCTGAAATCAATACAAATATTAAAAATAAGTAAATAAATAAAAGCCTTACAGAAACCCTCTGCCCCTGTCCCCAGCGCTCGCTGGGCGAGTGGGTGCCCGCCTTCTCCCATGGCGCACGGGCCGCGACACTGCAGGTGACTGTCCCAGGACAGCAGGCACCCCGTGCCACACCCTTTGGCCCCCTCCCCTTCGGCAGTGGTGTGTGCCCACACCTGTGTGCGTCATGGCCGTGTCGTTGTGATTGTCCCGGAGCGTCCTGTAAACGGTGCCATGTGAGCGCGGGAAGGGCTGCCGTGGACACGCGGCGACTCCGAAAGCCTCCGTGGGGCCGTGGTGGGGTTGGTGTGGGCAAGGCCGCGTGGGAGTGGGGCGGGAAGTCGTGACAGCTATACGTTGGTCCCGGTCACTTTGCCACCTCACCCCTGTGAGAATGTCGCTGTCCGTCACACCTGGTGGGGCGGCAACTCCAGGAGCGGCTGGGTTCTGAGAGGCGGCCACGCCTCTGTCTCAGGTTAATGTGAACTATTAGAGATAAGAAATACCGCCATTTCTACGACGCGCTGCACGGTCCTGTGTGGCCCCCACCCCAGGGACCCATCTTATTGTCTGCGCGATGGGGAGTGGGCAGGATGGGGAGTGGGCAGGATGGGGTTTGGGGCGGGGCACGAGCTAACTGGGAAGGGAGGGGGCAGGGAGGGCTGCCCGGATGGTGGGAGAGGGAGAAGAGGGGTGGGCAGGAGGAGAGCTCAAGAGGACCCTATCAGCTGGAGGCAGGTGGCAAAAGCACAATAGGCCACACAGTTGAGTTTGGGGCCCTCAGGGCGCTTGCCTGGCCTTGGGGAGGAGGGTGAATGGACTGGGGCGTAGTGGGGAGGGCAGGCACAGGGAGGAGTCCCAGAGTCCCAGGGGTACCAAGGGCTTGGGAGTGGCCGCCACAGGGGGTCCTCAGCCACAGGCCCCTGGTGGCCCGGGGGGCGAGGTCACGCGAGGTCACGTGCTCAACAGGGATGCTGGGAGCCTGAGAGCGGCCTGCTGTCTCGGTGCCCATCCATCTGTCCTCACATCTTTCACAGCGACTGGCTCAGAAGGAAGGAGAGCCACAACCAGGGAGCAGAATGGAGGGGGAGGGGGGCCCTCACTTCCCCGGAACGTCCCGTCCCCCGGCCTTCTAGTCAGCCCGCCTCGCCTGCCCCCTCATCTCCAGGCGCCGCTCTGATCAGAAATGGCCTCTCGGACTCTGGATGGTCCCTCCACCCAGAATCGGTCCCTCCACCCAGAATCGGTCCCTCCACCCAGAATCGGTCCCTTCCACCCCTGTCCCCGAGCCCCAGCAGAGCCTGCGCCCGGGCTCAGTTCCCAGAGGGCAGGGAGATGGGCAGACCTGGTGGTGGGTGGGTTGATTGCCCACGGGATCTGAGGTGGAGGAGGCCTGGGGCCAGGTGCCCGCTGGGTGGCTGAGCGCTGGGAGAAGCAGCGAGGGTGCCCAGGGGACAGGCCACTGGAACTGAGCAGCAGGGGCACCGTAGGGCGGGGTGGGGCCCTTTCCTGAGAGAAGGGGTGGCTCTGGCCGGAGTGAGGGCAGGGGTGCAGCACTGCCTCCAGGGCCCGGAGCCTCGGCCCCACCTCGCTGCCTCTGCCCCGGGGCCCCCCTCGAGTGGCCTGGACCCAGGTTCCCTGTGCGCCCTTTGGCGCCCCAAGGGCTGGGCAGCCACCAAATCCCATGAGGGACCCTGAGGCCCCGCTGTGAGCAGCACCCAGCTCCCCGGAGGGAGGTCATCCTTGCTTCTCTCTCAGGCCTTTCCTGGAGGAGAAGGTCCCCGTTTGGCGCCTGTGGCACTCACTTCCTCCGGCAGGTGTGACCCCAGGTGTTTAACCAGCCCCAGCGGCTCCAGGGTGGGGTGTGCGGCGGGGGCTGTCGGTTTGGGGGTCACCCCTGGCAGCCTCTAGGAGCACAGGCAGCTGGGTGGGCGACTCAGGGAGGCCTGTGAGGAGCCTCCGGGAGTTCAAGAGCCACGGGCAGAGGAGTCCCAGCTGCTGGGAGCCCCTGCGGGTCCACACATCCGCATGAGCCCACGTGGTACCCCTGTGGTACCCCCGCCGCCTCCTCCCAGGTCCCCTCCCCTGGCGCCCTGAGCCCTAACTCCACTGCGCAGCCCATGAGCTCACCTCCCCCGGCGCTTCCCACTCGCTGCCCCTTACTCCCCACCCACTGCCCCTCGCTCACCACCCGCTGCCCCTCACCACCCGCTGCCCCTCACCAACAGCTTCGTGCAGGAGCCTCCCTGCTCCAGAAACGCTGTTCAGTCCCGTCTGCAGGGCACACACCTCGCTCCGGCCTGGCTGCCCCCGAGCAGAGGAGAAGCCAGCATCCTCAGTGACGCCCTGCCGGCTCCTCCAGCCCCGGCGCCCGCCTTCTCCCTGCCCTTCCTGCTGGGCACAGTCCCACCCAGAGGCCCTGGCACGGGCAGTTCCCCCTCCCTGCCTTCCTGCCCACAGTCACCTCTCACTGTCACCCGTGGGGAAGCCAGGGCCGGTCACCCGCCGCCTCTTTCTCCCGCACACGTGGGCTTCGCCTTTTGTTTTTTCTGGTAGGTCTCCAACAAAACATTTTTTGGTGATAAAATACACATCACATAAAATTTACCATTTTGACCGCGTTTCAGTGTACAGCTGAGAAGGACTAAGTACATTCATAGTGTTGTGCAACCCTCACCACCATCCATCTTCAGAACTGGCTCATCTTCCCAGACTGAAATCCCATCCCATCGGTTAAACCG